AATTGATGCAAAATGATAAGGTTAGTTTGCAGAGTGCACTAACATATATAATAAAGTTTGTGGAAAACTGTGAAAAGTTCTCTTCGAAGCTATTTTCAGTGGCCTTGCAACGGCGATGCTACTTTTTATATAAGACGTTCCATATGGACCCTACCGACGGTTTTATAGAGTAGTCTTTTAAAATTTGAAGGAAACACACCATAACTGCAATATCTAATAACAGTATCATACAATCTAGATTCCTTCTGACACAAAATCCTTTTACAAAGCAACAAACTGAGGCACCATGAGAGTGTCAATCAGTTAGCAGGGAGTAGAAATATTAAGAAGCATGAGAGAAACTGCAAAAAGTTATCTTTTATGTCATTTTCAGTAGTCCACTCCAGTGCCATATGTTTGCTAAAGATGTTCCACATATGGACCTTTTATAAAATTATCTCTTATAATTTTAAGAATGAGCGCCATGACTGCCTCATATTGCATTATCAGCTATAATGCGTTATTAGTCCTGTAAAGTAACTTATTCATCAAACAAAACAATACAACCTACCAACACGTAGCTGGACCGTGACAGTAACGTTTCCTAAAGAGTTTTCGGCAAAGCAGGTATACCATCCACTATCATCTAACACAGTCTCACAAAACTGCAGAATGTTATTGGTATTTATCATAGTGCTCGGCGAAGTTTCATTTCCCTTGTACCAAGTTATAGTGGGATGAGGGTTTCCAAGTACTGGGCAAGAAATTGCTGCTGGATCTCCCTCAGACACATCAATAGTGTAACCTTCACTGTTGACCGTTGGGGGATCTGAAGAGACCAAACATAGAGAAAACGCAGAATTAGGCCTTTGATGTCAACACCATAACGACTGTTGCTCAAAGTGCAATGTCGATGTCACAAACATACTTGCAACTTGTGCAGACATTCTGTTCCTGTACACAGTCTCGGTCACAAAATCTCACTTGAGTATTTTGAGTTTTACACAACAATTGTCCTTGACATACTAAATCCGTCTCAATAAAAATATAAAGCTGGAGTAAGACGTGTGTTAGCAAACCTTGCATTGAGATGTTCCCCAAAGTTGACCAAATTTAAACAGGAATCAATTCGTTCATGAGGACCATTTTATTAGTACCCGCAAAATAAGGAATTTAGATTAGGCGCATTAGAACATTAGATTAGGCGTCAGCATAAACAAGAGCATACAAACTCTTGATCTTCGGCCATCGTAGCTTGATTAAAAATATAAAACAAACAGCGGTGAAAAACATTTTAAAAACAATGAAAAGCTTTTACTTTACCAGGAAAGCTTTTCCATTGTTCACTTTACAGACAGTTTTCGTTTGAAAGGTCTTAAATTTCTACTGCAGATGTTTTTCTGTCTAGGTTCCAGAACCCTATTGATACAGTATAAATAGCTTTCCAAAAAATTTTAACGGTTATACTTTTGAAAATGTATGTTGACTAGCATACGAAACGTCAAGATCATAAAATGCTTGTTTTTAAAATGTTTATCACCGCTGTTTGTTTTATATTTTTAATCAAGAGCATACAACTTTTTTTTTTTTAAGAATATTAAGACTGCACAGCACAATGTTAAGGTAAACTGAACAGGCAATCCTGGAGACAAAATTTTTGACAGAAAGGAAAATTGGACTGCATGCATTTGTTTCTGGGAAACCGTAAAATGGCAGTTTTGTGCAGTCCCACGTGTCTCCTGGGGGCGAGTCTCCAAAGCAGCCGATATCCCCAATCTTTGACTGCAGGTTTTCTTGGAGAACTGCCCTAGTTTCTTTGGGAAGCCACTATTTTTTGGCTTGGATTAAAGGTGGAAGCTACGGTTGCAGCGAGCAAGGTGATTATCAGTATTACATTCTGCACCGGGTATCTCACGGGTTTGAAGAACATCTCACTGTTCACAACGGCGCATTAAAACATAGTCAATTGGGCGCCAGTGTTGTGACAGGGAATGCATCCAGGACTATCTTGTGCTACTGATGGCAAAACGCTCTGCGCAGAATTCAAGAAGAAGGCGCCCTTTGGTGTTGCAGTCCCCCACACCATGTCTATCTAATACGCACTTTGACGCCGCCCAGACGCCCAGAGCTCGTCGTTTGCTGAGGCCAGGGCTTTCCACAAGTTGCTCGGCAACTTTTTGGTAACTTCTTGTATTTCGAGCAACTGTTTTCGTTTCGAGCAACTTTTTACATTCTGAGCATTTTCATTCTAGTTTTCTATCAATTCTGAGAAATCGTAGCAGCTTTTAGTGCTTAAATTGGCCTTCCTTCCAAATTCCCCCTCTCCCTAGGGCATATCATGGGTGCAAGATGCCTGGAGCCGGGCTGCTAGGTCAGCGGTTTTTTTTTTAATTTCAAAACGGCGGACGAAGATTCACACTCGACTGACTCGAGTGTCTCAGGTGAAGAATTTTTACCAGATTAATATCAATATTGATGAAATTTTTTAACTCATTTGTCGGTTTTAATTGAGAGCAAAGTTATTTAGCAACGCTGGTTACGCCGCAAAATTGCACAAAAATGCTTAGAAATGTTACTTTTGTTGTACAATTTGCATATTTTTGCAGCAGACCAAATAAAGAAAGAGAGCAATAATTTTTTTTTTTTTGTCTTTTTAGAGTAACGTTTGAGCAATTTTGGTTACAGAGAGTAAATTGTGACTTTTCTGAGCAACTTTTTGAGAAATTGCGGCCAACTTGTTGAAAGGTTGTAAATAGTAATCACGTAGTGTCAAATTAAAAACGATGTCTATGGCAGACGTTTGTTGAAAGCCTCAGCTCAGACATTCTGATCAGAGTAAATTGTCTCCTTGTCTCCAGGATCTGCCAGGGGTAGGGACGTATACACTGAGAGGTGTGGCACGTTGATGGTCACGTAATTGGAGACGCATGACGATGATGCGGTCGGAGTGACCACGAAGCCAGCGTCACAAACATGCCTTTCTATCTCCGATTTNTATCTTGTGCTACTGATGGCAAAACGCTCTGCGCAGAATTCAAGAAGAAGGCGCCCTTTGGTATTGCAGTCCCCCACACCATGTCTATCTAATACGCACTTTGACGTCGCCCAGACGCCCAGACGCCCAGAGCTCGTCGTTTACTGAGGCTAGGGCTTTCCACAAGTTGCTCGGCAAGTTTTTGGTAACTTCTTGTATTTCGAGCAACTGTTTTCGTTTCGAGCAACTTTTTGTATTCTGAGCAATTTCTAGTTTTCTGTCAATTCTGAGAAATCGGAGCAGCTGTAAGTGCTTAAATTGGCCTTCCTTCCAAATTCCCCCTCCCCTCTAGGGCAGATCATGGGTGCAAGATGCCTGGAGCTGGGCTGCTAGGTCAGCGGTTTCTTTTCTTTAATTTCAAAATGGCGGACGAAGATTCACACTCGATCGACTCGAGAGTCTCAGGTGAAGAATTTTTACCAGATTAATATTAATATTGATGAAATGTCTTAACTCATTTTTCGGTTTTAATTGAGAACAAAGTTATTTAGCAACGCTGGTTACGCCGCAAAATTGCACAAAAATGCTTAGAAATGTTACTTTTGTTGTACAATTTGCATATTTTTGCATCAGACCAAATAAAGAAAGAGAGCAATAAAATTTCTTTTTTTTTGTCTTTTTGGAGTAACTTCTGAACAATTTTGGTTACAGAGAGTAAATTTTGACTTTTTTGAGCACCTTTTGAGCAACTTTTTGAGAAATTTCGGGCGACTTGTTGAAAGGTTGTAAATAGTAATCACACAGTGCCAAATTAAAAACGATGTCTACAGCAGACGTTTGTTGAAAGCCTTAGCTCAGACATTCTGATCGGGGTAAATTGTCTCCTTGTCTCCAGGATCTGCCAGGGGTAGGGACGTATACACTGAGAAGTGTGGCATGTTGATGGTCACGTAATTGGAGACGCATGACGATGATGCGGTCGGAGTGACCACGAAGCCAGCGTCACAAACACGCCTTTCTATCTCCGATTTACCGGACCAGTAAAGACTGAGTGCATCCTACAGCATGCTCTGTTATGCTTCCATCCCCTTAAAAGCGGGCTTCGTTAAGTGAATACATAGGCAAAATAAGCAGCTGTGCTATTGCTTTCGTTTTGCTTATATTAGTAAGGACTCCTTTGTTGCCAGACTAACGCCCACCTATGGTAAATATCTTTTGGAATGATTTTCTTCCCCTTGGAGATGGAATATGTTATAAAAAACTCGTTTTCTGAAAGCCACGTGGAGGTTGCTTCATGTATTTAAATGATGCGCATTTGGTAAAAGGCCCAAGATCATCTTATTCAGTTCAGAACCCACTCCCACGTGTAATTTTATCTTTCTTTCATTGCTCAGGTCTATGGACTTGTTTCAAGGGGAAAGAAAACTCTCTTAGAGCAGCCATTGGAATTCACTGCTCAATATAACGGTAGCCCTCATAGACATTGTGAGCTGATCAGCTCTTTTAGCCTCCTTGTTGAACGTTACAGTAAGAAATTTCTAAGTAAGACTTTGTGTAAAAAGATCTAGTTAGGTTCTTACACTGTACATCAATGTCCATCACTATGGAGCCCACTCCACAAGTGTTGTTTGCAGTGCACCTGTATTCTCCAGCTTGAGCTCGGTTGATGTTAGTGATGTTCAATGGGTTTCCCTCGATGTGCTCACNATACACTGAGAAGTGTGGCATGTTGATGGTCACGTAATTGGAGACGCATGACGATGATGCGGTCGGAGTGACCACGAAGCCAGCGTCACAAACATGCCTTTCTATCTCCGATTTTCCGGACCAATAAAGATTGAGTGCATGCATGCTCTCTTATGTTTCCTTCCCCTTAAAAGCGGGCTTCGTTAAGTGAATGCATAAGCAAAATAAGCAGCCGTGCTATTGCTTTCGTTTTGCTTATACTAGTAAGAACTCCTTTGTTGTCAGACTAACGCCCACCCATGATAAATATCTTTTGGAGTGATTTTCTTCCCCTTGGAGATGGAATATGTTATAAAAAACCCATTTTCTGAAAGCCACGTGGAGGTTGCTCCATGTATTTAAATGATGCGCACTTGGTAAAAGGCCCAAGATCATCTTATTCAGCTCAGAACCCACTCCCACGGGTAATTTTATCTTTCTGTCATTGCTCAGGTCTATGGACCTCAAGTGTTTCAAGGGGAAAGAAAACTCTCTTAGAGCAGCCATTGGAATTCACTGCTAAATATAATGGTAGCCCTCATAGACATTGTGAGCTCATCAGCTCTTTTAGCCTCCTTTTTGAACGTTACAATAAGAAATTTCTAAGTAAGACTTTGTGTAAAAAGATCTAGTTAGGTTCTCACGCTGAACATCAATGTCCACCACTGTAAAGTCCACTCCACAAGTGTTGTTTGCAGTGCACCTGTATTCTCCAGCTTGAGCTCGGTTGATGTTAGTGATGTTCAATGGGTTTCCCCTGATTTGCTCACCAGTCGCGACACTTGTCCACAATACAGTTGGATCAGGAATACCTGCAGTCACATTACAGTACACCTTAACGTTATCACCTTCTTTGGCAACTTTATTTTCAACCTTCTCCACAGACGCCGGGACTGGAAAATACAATCAAATGTACATCTCTTATCCTTGTCCTTTGCATGGCATCACGTACACTTAGGTAGGTACTTCAGTATGAGAAGAAAGATTGATTAGTAGACTTACTTAGACAATCTGAATCTTTTACAATCCATGCAGATGATGCAGATATGAAACGACGTGCTTTACAGCTGCACCTGGTAAATCCTCCCCTACATCTCAAATCTCCCTCGCATTTTCAAGGAATCTTCTTAAACATTCCGACTCCCCGCTTGCTTATACATGGTTAATCTTTTTATTAATCATGGGACACTTGAATAAAACATTTGCGTTTAACATGTAGCGTAGTTGAGTAAATTCAAACTCACCATCAACAGTCAAAATAATATCACCACTCTTAACAATTCCCTGGATAGAATTATTAGCCTCGCATCTGAACACAAACTGGCCAGCATTTTCCATTGTTTTTTTCCAGGTTCCTGGTATTCCCAACTTCTTAATTACAATGTCATTTTCAAACAACAAATAAGTATGTACAGCTGGATTAGCTTCAGCAGTGCATGTGAAGTCTACTACAACTCCCGTACACACTTTGCGTGATGTATTTGGCGTTAAGCGGACATCTTTAGGTTGATCTACAAAAAAAAAGCCAAGAGATTAAACTATATAATAAACGTCTATTTTTGTTTTTATCATAATCCACTATCCCATAGAAAAAGCCATCATTCAATATATATGTGTTTTTACATTACGTCATACTTTGCTGATTTCATATTTAAAAAAGCTTGATCAGTTATCTCTGGAACAAGAGAAGATCAAGGTAAGAGAGTGAATCCCCATATGGGCCTTATACTCAAGGTAATCCCTCTAAAGCTATTTTTAGACATAGTACCAAGTTTTTCCACGGAATGTAATAAGAGGGTGTGAGGCCTATCTGGGGGATTCGCTCTCACCTTAATCTTCTCTTACTCTGGAACGAAAAGAAATATTTGAAAATAGTAAACAGCATTTTCTTTTCGTATACACTATTTTTGTTGTTCTTTTTTAAACACCTTAGATAGGACACATGGGAATTTCATCATCTATATCTACATTGAATTAAGCCACCAGATACAGAAAATTATTCGCCGATGAAACAGTTAAATTTTTATACACAGATAACCGCCATCACAAACGTCACAAGGCATGAAGTCACAAAATAACTAAAAGTGATTATGACAGAAATTTTAAAATCCAGATACGTGTGGCCCAACAGAACACAACAGGGCGACTTTGTCAACCTTAGCAAGCGAGAAAATATACAATTTTCTTTATAAGGTCTTGTGACATGCTGTTTATCCCGTTTCATTAGTTTTATGTTACCCGTTATGTAACGTTAATCTTCTCATATTTGAGCTTTCGTTTCGTTTCTTTAGTGTCTCTTCGATGAACTAATTATGCAAGTTGACTAACGTTAATTTTTGACATTTTTGACCGGTCGCATGTATAGGAAGAATAAAGCCGCATTGTAAGTGGCTTGTTCAACACTACCAAAATCACGCTACCCAATTAACCTCAGTCAGTATAAGTAAATCATGTCTAACTAGTCTTACCGTTTAAACAAGAGACTGAGATCGGTCTAAATCAGTGTTTCTCCTCATTTCACACAAAACCAAAAAAAAACATACTATTACAATTACATAAAAGGAGGTTACAGAAGTACATAGTTACTCAGTGCATATGTTTGTACTTACAAGTAACATTGACATAAAGTAAATGGCTCGCTGGATTTCCAATTCCATTGTAAGTTGTACAGCGGTATGTTCCAGTAGCAGTTCTGCTGATGTTTACAATAAACCAAGGGTTTCCAAAGAACACTACATCACCATCCGAACCATTCTTTAATACTCTGGTCCAAGTAACGTTTGGAGTTGGTTTACCAGTTGCGTCACAAAACAAAGTCAAATTTGAACCTTCATTGAGAGTCTGGTCACCACTGGGACTGCTGGGACTGCTGGTGAAACTGGTTTCAGCTAAAAAGAACGCAATGAAGAGTCAATCCAGCTGCAGAAACGTTTTCAAAAGCACATGAATAAACTAATTTTAATAGTAGACTAAGTGACAGATATAGATTTGCATAAATAAATTGATCAAGAGAAGAAAAGACGTGAACTGAAACTAATTTACACCTAAAGTTTTTACCCACCCATGACCATGATGAGGAAGAGCAGGCAGCTGATACTCCCAAAACCAAATGTGTGGTCAAGTAGCTCAGAGCGGCTTAATAGTCTCGGTTAGACAAAGTTTATACTGAGGTCCAATTATCGAAGGAAGCCCTCTAGTTATAAAAGAAAGACGGCAAGGACTTAGCAAAGCTACAACTCTTAACAGACCTCAGCAAAGAAGGATCGACAAGAAACCAGGAATAAATCTCAGAAGACCATATACTGAAAAAGTTTGGTTAGATTCTCAATAATAGTGTTATGGAAGAACGTCCTTCAGCCCAAGCAGTAGTAGATGCTTGGCATATCGCGATCCTGACACATGAAATGAACGTGTTGTGTTTTAGTTATTTGAACTCCGGTGTAACATTCATTGTTTATCTAGCCTATGTAATAATCATGTAATCGCTACTAGAAATCAAGTGACATTGTAACAACAATTCGATTTACCCCCGGGTCTACTCTGAGTTTACTCTGGGATGTATACTTGGATTTATCTCAAGAAGAGAATAAAGGTACGTTAAGGTGAAGTTCTGTGTAAGTCCTTGGTCTGTCCGAATTCCAGTTGCCGCAAACCCTGGTATCCAGAAATTAGTGACGTCTTTCTACTCTCAAGCTAGCCAACCGAATTGCTCAGAGTTTAGTTCCCCAAGTTGTGTTCATTTGCCGTTGTCCAGTTACGTTCACATTTTAAGTTTCCACGAGTGAAAAGTCGAGCGTCATACAATCTACAATTACGATATCGACGGATAGCCTGTGTCACAGACAGTCTACACCACCGGTATAGGCTATATCGTGGATTTGCACCGCAGGCTATCACAAGAAAACATAGCATATCTTTAGCAGGCTGCAGAATACTGGGGGAAGGAGCTAGAACGCTGGCGTACGTGAACCGCCAAAAGAAGGCAATTGATTTGTATGGTATGATTTTCCGGGTGTGGGCAATCCTCAAAAGAGCTTTTGTCCCCAAATAAAAAACTGACGAGACCTTGAGGGTGAGTATCAAATCACAATTTATTGAACCTAATATATAGATTTAGCCAAGCTTAAAAGCGTAGCTCCTGATTCCAAAACTTAACCATAAAGGAAAAAAAGATTTGTTAGAAACTCAAAATATAATCAATTATGAGCATGTAATTGTTCAGCGTGTGGTTTTGCTATTCTTTCCAGTTAAATTTTAACAAACTATACCCACTATAAGCGTAACTTAAAGATTGTAAAAAATTACGTAAGCAGTACATCAGGGACCTTTCAAGGGACAATTGTACAAGGAATATATCAGAAGGAAAGTCCACAACGCACCAGAGGTTAACTTGCAC